CATCATCATCAATTTCAAAATCGAATATTCATAAATAAAAACTATATATCAATCCTATTCTGTTTCTTTATTTATTGACAAGTATTATTCTTTTTACGTATGTATAAATATGTGTATGTATATCTGAGAGGTAATACAAAAAAAAATGCAGGAGAAGAATCGATAGAAAAGAGTGAGTTATCGTATCACAATAGACATCACAGTGCAAAAAGAAAAATAGGTAATAGAGAAAAAGAAAAACACACTATTAATATATATATCTATAGATGTATACATATGTATAAATATATTATTGTCGATAAGCGACACAAGCAAAACCCGAATCACATCTAGGTGTTAACATTTGACTTTCAATCATCCATTCATCTTTGTCACTGTCATAAACTTCAACTGTATCAAGTAAAGATGTCCCATCATAACCACCAATAACAGCTATCCGACCACGAATAAATGCCGAACCACAATAACATCGTCGAACAGACATACTTGTCACATTTGTCCATTGATTTATTTGACTATCATATCGTTCTACACTTGATAAATGAATTGTTCCATCAAATCCACCACAAGCAAATATATAATGATTAACTGTTGCACAACCAGCACCTAAGAAAACGAAATAATTAAATCAGACATGTATACTGAATTATTTAGATGTAGAAAAAAATGATATAATTCTACCTGAACGTGGAGTCAACATTGGTGCCATTTGTGACCATCGACCCAAATTAATATCTAGAAGAAAAAAAAACTTAGAATAAAATTGAATAAACTCAGAATGAAAATTTGTTACCATATTTTTCAACTGTTTGTAACAAAGTAAGACCATCATATCCACCTGAAAGAAGTTAATAGTTTTAATAAAATAATCATCAATTGAAAAGATTTTCATGTTTTATTTGATCAAGACAAATCAACAACCCAATCTACTGAGACAGACTAGTTATCTATTAAATTGTTGATAGATTCTGCTTTTCGTTAGACTAATATAATGCATATAGATCATCAATTCTTGATGTTAAACAAACTATGCTTCTCGCATAAATTCTTGGTCTCTATTCTTCTGAGTCTTTCTCACTGCCATAATCAATATCAGTGATGAAAAAGAAACAACTTATCTCAATCGAAAATTATCCAATATTCATCAGTTTATTGCATAAATATACACTTACCAATACAATAGAGATGATCACCAATAGATACAAGACCTGCTCCTTCTCTGCCTACATGCATATCTTCACCAATAGTCCATACATCAGTTTTTTCATCATAACATTCTGTTGATGCTAAACGAGATGATCCATCAAATCCACCACATACATATATTAAATCTGTACAGAAAATATAGAAAAACATTTGAATAAAGATTATCTTTTTTAGAAAAAAAAAGGCATTTACTTTGATGAACACAAACACCAGGTAGTGCTGAAAATTGAAAATAACAAAGAAAAAAAGATATGTTGAAACTTGAAAATAACTTTTTTTTTACCTCGTCGATACGTCAGTGAAGCGACTGGTTGCCAAGTAGCATTTTCTTGTAATAAATCAAGACATTCAACAGAATTCATACGTTGTCGTCCATCATAGCCACCTACAACATAAAGACGTTTACCAATAGCTGCTGCTGCTGCATATCGACGTCGTTTCGTTAATGGCTAAATAAAAATAAATTATATAACAATTGTTCGCCATTTTTATTATAATTCTTCTCAACCTGTAAAGCAGTCCATTCATTTGTACGTGGATTCCATCGTTCAACAATGTCTACAGGTCGTTGATGAGCACCAAAACCTCCAGCTACCTATATTAACAAACAAAAAAAACAAACTTTAAATTTTAATAGAATAAAATAAATACTTACGATAAGATGTTCATCTTTTCCTACACAAAAGACAAAAAAAGAAAAAACGATATTTTATTTGTCGCTTAAAAAAATCATCATTCTACTAACCACGTCGACTAGTAAATCGTGTTCCTGTCATTAATTTTCGACAATCTGGTCTTAAATGATATCGTTTTGCTTCATCAAGTAAATCACGACATTTATGTGATGATCTTATCAATAGCTAAATGAAATAAGATTTTTTGTTTTGTAAAATATATAATATAAAAAAAATTTTCTCTCTACATACTTCATTATCACAAATATCAGTAATAAAACGAGCACTAAGAAATGGTAATCGAACATGTTGAAGAAGTGTTAATAAATATTGTTGACGAAATGTTTGATCATGTTTTATCCAAGCCATAACACTATTATAGATTATTTCTTCATTGGGTACCTTTACAAAACAAATCATAAAAAGTTTCTGTTAAATACAAATAAAATAACTAACTTCAATTTCATCAGATTGTATAAGATCTTCAACTTCATTTGCTTTTAATGTTAAAAATTCCTCACTATGGACTACAGCTGCAAAATGTGTCCAAATAAATGATAGAGCTAAAATTTAATATTTAAATTTATTGTCCTTGTTTTGTTTCTTATTTTATAAAATCTATTTCTATTATTACCAGTTTGTTTTAATTGTGAACAATTGTGTAAATCAGCAAAACAATAAATGCCCAAACAATTTGCTGGTTCAAGATGACTAGCAAGAAAAAGAGCACATTGTCGTTGAATATCTAAATAATAGAATTTATAAAATAAATAAATAAAAAGAGTAAGAAGCAACAAAAAAATAATAATAATAACCAACCAGTTCCATTTAATTGAAGTAGAGAAGCAGCTGGAAGAATATCTTGAACATTATCATTTGTTACTATAACTGGTTCACCATAGATTGAATTTAAAAGAATTTCCATTACAGAAGCACTAAACCCTTTTAATTCAATAATATTCATATGACGTTCGACCATCTAAAATAATTTATGTTAAGATAAATTTTTAAAAAAATCATTCGATTTACTTCTCCAGTAAACATAGCAGCAAAATAATCACTGGCAGCAGCTAAGACAAGACGATGAGCAGGAAAGAGAATTTGTTCAACTTTGAGTGTTACATCACAAAGATGTTCAGTTTTACGTAGTTTGTTCATACGTGCAATTAATTGTTGAGAATGAATTAAATCATGAGAAGTATTTGTTGTTGATGTTCCATCGATCAAATTCAATGTCTTTGAATCGTATCTAAATGAAAAGAAGAATAAGATATGAAAGAAAATAAGATATTCATAAACATACTCAAGAAGTCGATCATTTTGAGTGATAGAACCAGGAACTTTGCTTTTAGGTATATTATTAGTATTGTTCGTTGTAGAACTTGCCATCTTCTGCTCTGAATTATGTGCTCTAATAATAGAAAAATCAAGGATAATATATATTAAGTAGGCACATACACATGGGATTGGAGGCAATTGAGTAAAACAGCTGAGTGACAAACAAAGATGTCGCTAAAAGTTGTGCGACAAGACGATATATATATACATATATAATATTTTATCATTGCTTCTTATTATTTTTTTGCGTTTTATGTATTGTAATATCAATTACCTTAATAACATGTAATTATGAGTAATAAAAAAACAAATTATCGAAAATTAATTTCCATGTCAGCAAAAACATTTATAATGTTTCAAGATGAAATATTGTATGCTGCTATTCTGTTGAATGATTGAATATTACGAGTAAAGGAATATCCAACACATGAATTATCATGTTGTTCATAAGTTTTGTTCGAACTTTTAATATATGATGTATAAAACTAATGACTATTGAATCCATTTACAGTTGTGATAGGAAACTTTTTTTCTGTATCAGTTCTTATTATTTCCATCTATTTTTTAAGTGACATGTAGAACATGATGTTTATCCCTATATATTTATTGTGCTTAGTATGTCTAATTGTAGAGCTTGTCAGGTCAAGTTTGAGTTCTAATCCAAAAATGTTCCGTTGTGTGAATGAGAGTAAAAGACAATATTCTGAAAGATATTTAATTGTCCTTAAGTTATTTCTATTTTCTTTTGCATAGAAATGAAACTTTAATTTATTTAGAAAAGTAGAAACGAAAAGTTTTATTGTTATGATTGATCCATATAATTAACATTATAAAGACTAGAATTGAACTTATCGTATTCATTCTGAATCCAGATCCGACTATCTCTATGAAGATACGAGTCTGGATGCAAAGATATTACATTAATGAGACTAGACACAAAAAAGTGGGAACTGATGAAGTCTTATCAAAATAAGAATGACTAGAAACTAATTGATCGATAATATGAGCTACATGTCGTCTGTTAAACTCATTATATGTCCACCTGTAGCAGTCATACGATAAATAATTTAAGAGGACATAAAATCGAATGTTAAACATTCTATGGCAATCACAATCGATCGAATAGATCTCAATCTAGCCGACTTATAATCAATGCTTACGATATCCACCTCTTGGAGGAATCTAATAGGGAAATGTATCCACTGGAAAATGGTTCGTATTTAGTCGTTAATCCTTTATAAAGATTGATTACTCTATATTTCATTGTATATTCACATATTCACCGACGAATATTACATTTCAATGACTGACTATTTCAAAACACTGTTCAGTTTGTCGAATTCTTCATAAAACTATACTTGATCTATTCAGATAATGGCTCAATTTTCGCCGAATTCTCTTTCCATTCAAAATAGCCAAAGAGAACAATCCATTGACTGTCTCTCTTCCTCACTAAAACTGATCATGCAGCCTCCTATTTTGAAATGTTTCCTCACATACGCTTTCTGTAGTTCTTAATTAAAAAACATATTTGTTTTTTATTTAGAATGTTATAATAACAAATACAACAACCACAATAACAAGGTAAATTTAAGTATTTCTTCAACCATCAAAGCTATTTATTTTAACTTATATGTATATTTTTTTCTCTATAGGTAGTTGGATCATCGTCGTATTTAAAGATGTGTAAGGATGTGACTGGTTTTTTAACTCACATCTGCACTCTATTAAATTTCAAACAAACAGATGTCAATACAGAATTCAACGATATGACATTTTCAGGCATATGATTTGGAATATGAATATGCGGATGAGAAGAACAATATATAGAATAGTGATTGTTTGGATGTCAGTAAAATATCTAATTGAAGTAAATTTTATCTTAGTTTCGAATGAAGTAATTATTAAAATAAACATTGTACAATCAAATTATTACTATCAATAAGTAATTCTTTTATGATTATACTTTGCTTCATCATGATTTGATAGAATCATAGAATTTCATAATATCGTGTTACCATAAAATTTATAGGAACAAAAAATAAATATTTCTTGATATTAAACCAATGTGAACTTGATTAATCATTGTCAGCTGTTTATCAATCATGATGAAACATGTCAGATTCTTTTTAATTGTACAATTACTCGTGTAAATCAATATAAATATTCTATACTTTGATTAAAATACTAATTACATAGAAAGATAGATAAGAAATTGTTATAATGACAATATTATATGATTATAATCTTTAGATAAAAAATAATTATTGAATTAACGAAATACATTCTTTTCGGTTTTTAATCAAAACTTTTTGTCTGAAAAATAAAAGAATGAAGAATGTCAAAATACTGATGTCTATGTAAAATAGCCACTAAAATCCATCACAGCTGATTTTGTTTGAGATGTCAGTTTTGATGGATCAGATGGTTTACGAAGAGGTCGATATGGTTGTATATTAGCTCTTCCCAATTGAAATCGATCACGAAAATATAATCTTGGCGTGTGATCTAAACCAGTGAATGTTGGATAAAATTTATTACCTTTAATTCCATTTATATCATAATCATATTGAATTGATCGAGCATGTTCTTGACAATTATTTCCATTATTTATTTCTTTTTGTGCATGTTCACAAGATAGTTGATGACCACGTAGAACGTAAGCATTTTCAAATGTTTTTAAACATGATGGGAAACCAATACATGAATGACGCATGATGTATGAAAGACTATTTTCTTTCTATGTTCTCGATTGTTTGTATTATTATGTCTCCTATTTATTTATGTTGCTACACACTTCATTCTTGAACACAATTGAGAAGAAAGCATTAACTCTGTCGTGCAGAATGTTGGTGAAAATATGATTCTTTTTGTGCTTTATATTAGAGAATAAGTAAAAAAATTGAATGAATGGCGAACCCTCACTAACACTAGTCACGCACTCAATGAAAAGCAAGTGTATTTTTTATATATGAAGTTACTTTTAGCAACATAGATTTATTTTAATATAGTTGCAAATATCTGAACATATTATTGAAAATGTAAGGATTATACAAAATCATAATGAAAACTGGAAACAAAAGACGAATGTAAACGATAAAAAAAAAACATACAAAATGACAATTGATAAATTCCAGAGCTGGACTGAACTGTATGAAAAAAAGATTGAGGTCGTTCAATTCCAAAATTCTAGTTAAGTCAATTTATAGAATATATATCTAATTAGTGTCGTCAGGGTACTTGATGTTGTCAAGTTTAGTAGCTCATTTGTAAAGATCTTTGAAGAAAGAAGCAATTATTTGTCATTTTGTTTTACTGCCAATTGATATATAATATGCAGCTTGTTGATATAGAACATTCTTATCATTTCTTTGTCGCATTCTAATAAATTTCAAAAATATTTTATATTCTAATTTCTCATCGTTTAGGTGAATTTCGGTCCACCCTTTTTATTTGAGTGCCGGAAACATTTTATTTTTCTTGTTTCCTACAACCTTGAATCTTTGTATTAGTTGCTACGTCGTCACTTACGTTCTTGTGCTTGTTGCTCTTTTTGTTTTTTTTTGTATTTTTATTTATACTTAAAATGCATTAGAATAGACACTTCATTCAAAAAGTAATTTATTTACCGTTAGTTCATATGATATTTAGATAGATGATTAGAAATTGTTGAAATCATTTCTTTTTCCAACCACAGCTATTCATTGTTCCACTATCATTAAGATTCTTTCTTAGTATACACACATGATTTACTAATTTGTAAAGATCTACTGTCTTACAATAACATATTTATTTCTTCAAATCTTATTTTTTCTAGTTTGTTAAGTTCTTTTTTTGACGTATGCGCTGTTCAATTCTTTATATATTGAATATAATAATGAAAACTTTGATCGAAGAAAACTAGTTTTTATAATGTAAGTATGTATACACACATAAAAACAAAACAAATTAAATGATTATAATTATAATCGAAAAAAAAAGAGAAAACAAGATATTAGGAATGATAAACAAGTATGGAGACATTTGAATTATTTATACAATTAATTGCATGTAGTATCACTGATTTATGTTATCGATTATTTGTTGAATCATCCTAAATAAAAGATAAGCAATAAAATTATTGTTCATATTTTTTTAAAGCAGCTGTTGACCAATAAAAGGTCGATTATCATGAGTATAAAAAACATGGTTCTTGTAATGGAAATTCACTATTTTGATAAAGATGTCGATCTGTTGATGGTTGATGATTTAAATGTTGTTGTAGAAAAAGTTGGTGACTTGAAGCTCTCTGCTGGAAAAATAGAAATAGCTAATGTGTACCAATGATATGATACTAGTACATCATTGGTAGTATTGGTATCAGTATTGGTAGAAAAGAAAAGAGAACATCAAATTTCAAAGTAATAAGAGCTAAACAACATCTCGAGTCAGAATAAAAAAGCAACATCCTTTGATTCCAATTAGTCGTGTTGCTGTTCATTTTTCTCTTCATATTGTAAACAACTTCATTACATTCACGAGAATGAATAATTTTCACATACAATCAAGCTTGTTCTTTTGTCGTTATCTAACGCATATATTTAGATCAGGTCTAAGCAATATGATGAGATTACTAACAAAGTTAATCAATTGCTTTTTGAAAGAACAGTCGATAATTGAAATGTATGATTATAGTTAAACAGTCAAAAAAGGTGAGGTGTAAAAAAGATGAGAGGTATAGTTTCTGTTGCAAGAAATCTATCATTGTATTGACAACATTGATAATGATAGGCTATCATTGCATAGAACTAGCTGTTAATTGTATTTATTTTGCCATTAGAAGCGTGTGTAAATGTTTAAATTTAACTATTCAAGCCGTGCCTTCATGTTTTTGTGAGGGAATAGAAAGCAGCCGCATGTTATGAACTTTTTATAGAAAGTATTAATGAGATCTCGATGTCCATTTGTAACTGAAGAACAATTGGAAAACTATCAACCGTATCTCTTTCACATTGAAAATTCGTAATATGAAGAGAGGTTAGTAATCACGTAATAGAGAATAATTGTCGACT